TGGCTGCAGTTTTTCCATCTGACATACTAAACCGTTCTAGGAGATTCCCTTAGGACTAAGAAAAATGATGTCAGGGGATTAAGAAATATATTGGGAGGGAAGGGTGATCTTGGTGGACCTAACAATCTGGGTCCTCATTTTAGCTACCTCCGAAGGATGGAAGGCTGAGTCAACTGTGAGCCCCATCAGGATCAAACTGCTGGCAGTGGGCAGAATTAGCCTGCAATGCTACATTCTAACCACTGCACCACCAGATAGCAATAGCATTTAGACCAGCGGTTCTCAACCTATGGGTTGCGACCCCATTTGGGGTCGATCAACCATTTCACGGGGGTCGCCAAGCAAGGCTGTCCGCCATTTTTTTCCCCTTTTCTGGCGGGTGCCTTACCTCCCTTGGGCTGGGCCAGCTGGTGGTCGGCCTGCTCCGTCTCTGCTGCTTGCCAGCTACACCTCGGCCGGCGCAGGGGGCAGAACCACGCATGTGCAGCGCTCCCGGGCAGGGAAAGTCCTCGACTTACGACCGGTTGGGTAGTCCTCGACTTACAACCAGTTTAGTCCTCGACTTATGACCGGTTTAGCCCTCGACTTACGACCGGTTTAGTCCTCGACTTACGACCGGTTGGGGTCGCGGCATTAAAAAGGTTGAGAACCACTGATTTAGACTTATATACCGCTTCACAGTGCTTTATAGCCCTCTCTAAGCAGTTTACAGAGTCAGACTTTTGCCCCTCCAACAATCTGGGTCCTTATTTTACTAACCTCAGAAGAATGGAAGACTGAGTCAACCATGAGGCGGTGAGAATCGAACTGCTGGTAGTCATCAGAAGTAGCTTGCAAAACTGCATTCTAACCACTGTGTCACCCTGGCTCTTAGGACCATTTCTTTAAAATTTTACTCTTCTTTCTAGGCTAAATACATTGCAGATCCTTTAGTCTTTTCATGTATCGAATTTATTAAATTTCCCAAATACTGTCCAGTTTGTTGAAATAACACACACGTCCACATGTACAGTAGTGGCCAAAATTGTGGAAACCTTTTGGGAAAAATATATTTTTAAGGTTTGATGGATAATAACTCCACTTTTTGGGGGGGAGTAGTACCATAAAATTATATATCAATGGAAAGATAATTTAATCAAGAATGTAATGCAACAAAGTTTGTTCAATTATCTGTACTGTATTCTATGAAACGTTGTAGCCAAATAACCAGAAAACGGAAGCACAACTTGCTTAGGTTGATCTCAGGTAGCTTTCCTTCATCTGATTGTAGCCAATGAGCATGAGTGTTTAGAGAGCCAATCGGGTGTCATCTTGTTTTGGCAATGAGCCAATCAGATCACAGTAGGATCCAATGATGGATGTCATGTATTGAAGCTGAGAGGAGGACATTTGTCAGTGTGTTATGTGATGGCTATCAAGTTGGTTGGTTTTTTTTTGGTGTTCTTTCATTTAGTGAGCTTGTAAAACGTAATAAAATTAAAGTCATGGTGCAAAGAGTTGTCTGATCGTCCAGCAAGCAATGTAAAATAGTATTATTAAGGGAACAAGGCTACAGTTATAATGAAATTATAAGAAAAAATGGGTGGAAACTTAACCAAAGGTGGCATTTCTACGGTACACTTTTCCCAAAAGGTTTCCACCATTTTGGCCACTACTGTATATACATTCATACCTATAATTTCGGATTACAATTGGTAATATATTACAAGACAAGTTCATTATGGAGACTTACAGTCCCTGGTCGTGGATAAGGAATTCTTCCTTGGTAGGGAATCAGTTGATGGTTGGGTCCTTCCTTGTGGGCAAACGGTCCATTGAACACTCGCTGAATGTCGGATAAGTGATACACGCAAACCGCCGAGCCTTTAAATACTGAACTAGGGAAGGGAAGGAAAACACTAAATAAACCAGAGGCATCCATTTTGTTTTCTTACTTGCCTTGCCAATACTGCCATCTCCAAATCATCATGGCCTGCTTAAAAATGATAGGTTGCTCTTTCTAGAGCAGGGGTAGGCAACCTTGGCTCTTTTATGACTCGTGGACTTCAACTCCCAGAATTCCTGAGCCAGCCATGCTGAGGGGAAAGGGAGAGGTTTCCAAGCTGAGCCATGCTGGCTCAGGAATTCTGGGAGTTGAAGTCCATGAGTCATAAAGCGGCCTAGACCTAGGCCAGGGGTAGGCAACCTTGGCTCTTTTATGACTCGTGGACTTCAATTCCCAGAATTCCTGAGCCAGCCACGCTGAGGGGAAAGGGAGAGGTTTCCAAGCTGAGCCATGCTGGCTCAGGAATTCTGGGAGTTGAAGTCCACGAGTCATAAAAGACCCAAGGTTGCCTACCCTTGTTCTAGAGTCATTCAATGGATATTTGACTGATTGGATTTAATGATTTAGTCTGCAACAACTGTGTCGTTTACTGACCGTTCAGAGTTGCGACGGCACTGAAAAAGAGCGACGTGTGACCGTTAACATCCGTTGCCACATCCCCAGAGTCATGTGATCGAAATCTTGAGGCTTGGCAACCCAAATGTATTGAGAAAAATATACGCAGTGGCAACTGCTGCAGCTTTTCCCAACTCAAGAGATAGCTTTGAATTTAAGGACTAATATCTCTGAGCTTGTGGCTGTTTTCTTGCAGATGTTTCATTACCCAAACTAAGCAACATCGTCAGCGCTGATGATGTTACCTAGTTTGGGTAATGAAATGTCTGCAAGAAAACAACCAAGTTCAGAGGTCACCAAGGACACCAAAGTCCTCCTATTCCTCCTCCCCCCTTCTAGCACTGATGATGTTACCTATTTTGGTAATGAAATGTCTGCAAGAAGAGCACCAAACTCAGAGAGTACCAATGACCCTACAGTCCTCCTCCTCCTCTTCCTCCTCCTCGTCCTTCTCCTCCTCCTCCTCCTCCTCCTCCTCCTCTTCCTCCTTCTCCTCCCTTCCAGCACTGATGATGTTATCTAGTTGGGTAATGAAACATCTACAAAAAAACAGCCAAGCTCAGAGAGCACCAAGGACCCCTCATTTCAACCTTGTGCTACAAATATTTTCCTTTGTCTGGTTTTGCCCTTAAAATTAATTCATTCAGAAATGTATTCAGAAATATGTTATTCCAATAAATGGACGAGAATTCTATGTGGTAACATGTTCCTGAGATGGAATCAAAGATATGGCTGCCAAATGAAATCCATTACATTCCCTACTACAAATTATGCTGGCACATCAATTTCAGAGTTAAAATATGTATTAAAATATATCTGCGGGTTTGTGGCAAAAAAAAAAACCCTGAATCTGAATCAACCCTGTAGAGGCAGAATAAAATATCTGCAGGATTTCTGCATTTCTTTACCCAGCTTCTACGGTTGCAACCCATCTCCCACCCCAACGCATGAGTAAATCAAACCAAATTCCAAATTAAACATGTGTGGTCAGAAAAATAATATTTCTCCATCTTGACTTTTAAAATTCTTTGTGACTCTTCATGGAGCACAAGAGAGAGGCTCAATTATTCCAATAAATTTTTAATAGTAATAATAATAATAACAACAACAACAACAATAATAATAATAATAATAATAATAATGAACTGAAGAAGATAACATAATACAAAGACCTACAAATAGAAATAGGAAGACTGTGGCAAAAACAAGCAAGGGTAGCACCAATAGCAATAGGCGCCTTGGGTGCAATCCCAAAACAACTGGAGCACCACTTGAACACCATCATCGGCATTGACAGATTTGCCATTAGTCAATTGCAAAAGGCGGCCTTACTAGGAACTGCTTCCATCCTGCGACAATATCTGTAATACCCTCAAACATCCACATCTGCCTATCCCAGGTCCTTGGGAAGGACTCGATAGGTAGACAAAAATGCCAAATCCAGTCTGAACATCTGGCTGACTGTGCGATGATCCATAATAATAATAATAATAATAATTGTTTGGAGAAAATGGATATTATCCATTCATTATGGCAAAGGACACAACAGCCAGAGAAACAGGCATATTCAGAACATGAAGGCCTGAATACAATGAAGACAAGAATAATCAAAGCTTCAGGGCAGTGATGGGTGACCGTTACTCATCTCCATGATGTTATGTTGGTGGGGCTTTCTTATGTGAGGCCACCAAATTTTGGGAGCAAGCCAGTGGTGGGATTCAAATACGTGAACAACCGGTTCTCTGTGTGGATGCCGCTTCTGGAAGTCCTTTCTGGGCCTGGGCAACAAAAAAATTAGCTAATGATTCTGCCAAAGTGGTGCAAACCGGCTGAATCCCACCACTGGAGCAAACCAAAGAGCAAATTGACTCTTGGTTTGAGCAGAGAAAAAATAGAGGAGGAGGAGGAGGAGGAGGAGGAGGAGGAGGAAAAGGAGGAGAAAGAAGGAAATAGCTCTTGGTCTGCAGAAAGGAAAGGAGCAAGCGGGAAAAGTGAATGCATATCCTGCAGGGTATGGAGGAATTTTTAGCAACTTGGTTTTTTGTGACTGGCCCATTTTCTAAATTTGTAGCAGCTGAAAGCAGAGGAGGTTATCCCCCAAATTGTGGTTTAAAAAGTGCCAAGTTTGCAACTGAGTGTGCCATTTGGACAGAAACGCTCCGTAACCGTAGAATTAAACAGGAAAGTTTAACCATAAATGTGGAAGAAAAGTTTCAAGCAGCCTATCATTAAGTTGCTCAAGAAAGGGAGGAGGAGGAGGAGGAGAAAGAGAAGAAGAAGAAGGAGGAGGAGGAGGAGGAGGAGGAGGAGAAGGAGAAGGAGAAGGAGAAGAAGAAGAAGAAGAAGAAGAAGAAGAAGAAGAAGAAGAAGAAGAAGAAGAAGAAGAAGAAGAAGAAGAAGAAGAAGAAGAAGAAGAAGAAGAAGAAGAAGAAGAAAGATGATGATGATATTATTAATAATAATAAGGATAATTATGATGATGAGGAGGAGGAGGAGGAGGAGAAGAAGAAGAAAGATGATGATATTAATAATAATAATAAGGATAATGATGATGATGATG